CCTGAATGTTGGTTTGTTACCCATCCAAAGGTAGATTCCTTTGGGTGCTGTGAATGAGAAGTACAGAGCAGACTGAAAATGGCAATATCTTTTCTTCACTCAGGCATTGAAAAGCACGTTGGGATTCCCCCTGATCCGGTTTGAGGATGCTGTGATTAACCTGGATCCCTTCACCAGGGTCCATCCCTATGAAACTCAGGAGTTCATCATTAATGACATTCTGAAACACTTCCAGGAGGTAAATGTCATGGATTGTATTGTGGCACAGGTTGAACTTCTCTGGATTTGGGAGTTCTCCACTGAGGGTGTGGGAGCTCTTCCCTGACTATTAAGTGTTAGTGCTGTGTTGCTTCTTTGGCATATGGAGTAGTAGTATCACGTGTTTCTAAGAATATACTACATTTTAAGATCAAACTAGGGTTGATCTTACTGGTATTTGTGTGTCCATTTCTCCAGTAAAACTACCTGGGTTGTTTTATGCTTCTGTTGTGGATGGGATATTTTATCTTTTAATCAACCTTGCTGGTGTTAATGTGATTCATAAGTGATATTTCATTCTTCCTCTTGATTTTTACAGGAGCTGCTCAGTCAGGCAGCAAGGATCCTGGGTTCTGTGGATTTCCTTGGCAACCCCATGGGTCTGTTGAATGATTTTTCAGAAGGTGTTACTGGCCTTATAAAATATGGCAACGTGGGTGGGCTCATCAGGAACGTCACACACGGAGTATCCAACTCTGCTGCAAAGGTAATAATTGTGATATTAAAGTTGGCTACAGCAATGAGCAAAAAATAGTCAGGCAAGAAGTCAAATAGAATCACTGACCATGTTTCAATTGCCTTATGTCCTGTTTGTTTTGTGAAAATAGTGTTTGAAGTGTAGATTTTCTTTTCTTAAATGTTTTTTATACACATCTGAGAGATGCCAGAGACAGGAGTCAGTGACCCACTCAAGGCCTTATTATTGCTATTTATACACATACTTTGCAGATTGAATGCAGGAGTTAACAGAGTGAGAACTAAAAAGTTGCTCAAGTGTGGCCTCATCTCCCAAGTACAAATGAACAAAGTTGTATTATATTATGTATATAATCTACACAGAGAAGAGAGCATTAGAGAAAGGTGGAGTATTAAGGGATTATTTAGTGTATCAGGAGTTGCTAGCTCTTCTTTTTGGGAAGTGCTTAAGCTGATGTGAATAGCAATTATTATGCTGACACTTGAGGTTTGGGGTCTTTTATGCCACATAGCAACAAACTAAGGAATTCCTAGATTGCTTTGAATTTATCTTTAGTTTAATTCCAAAGTCTCTGCATGGTGAACATTCTTTTGTCCTTCCTGATAACAACTGGGAGAATTCAATTATATCAGTGGAAATAACTCTCTTTAGTGCCTGAGACAGGGAAGATCTGAGGCAGCAATGAGAAATAGGAGCATTTTGGATCATGGTCGGTTCTGTCCTTGATACTGAGCAAACATATGTCCTTGAAATGTTTTTATTACATATATGGTGTGTCAGCATGAACTGCTTTGTGGGCAGAACTGGAGCAATGCTTTCTTCCCATAAGGATGTGTTGTTAAAATTTGGTTTGGGAAAAATACTTTACTTTCTGTTATTTTCATTTTCCAACCTGGTAAGTTTGTACACGTGCACTGTAATGGTTTGTCCTTTCACAACCTTATTTGTATAGAAGGAAAGCCACTTTTTTCCCCTAAAAGTAACTCAGAAGATGTGAAATGTAGAGTCTGGATAATTACAGACAGCTCAAGACTAGCATTACCAAACTCAGCCCATCACCAAGTGCAGAGCTGGAACTAACCCAGGGAGCTGAACCAAGAGCAAAGATGACATGCACCTTATCTAATTCTCATTAGCCAATTTGGGAGAATTTCAAGAAATTCAGACAAAACACCATGTTGATATTCCTGTCTTAATCCCCTACTTGGTAATTCTGTAATTAACAGCACTGCAAATACAGGCTTGTCCAGGCAGTGTGGTAGAAGCTCCTGGAAGGCAGCTGTTTCCATCTGCTTTTGTCCATCCTTTCTCCTTGTGGTTGTAGTCTCTGGTGACCCATCCACTCCACCCAATAGAGTGTGTTTCTTTAGAGTTTCCTTTCTATAAAGTGTTGTTTCCTCATCTCAGTCACATCTGCAGCAACAGTCCCATAAATCTTCCTTTAAAAGGCACGAGCCTTCCTCTGTTTCCCACAAGGGCAAGGTCATTCTTTGAACTTCGGAGTCATTTGTAACCAAGGGGTTTGTGAAGGAAGATTTTCAAAGGCAGAAGGGCAGTTGGATGCTGAACTCCTTTCAAAATTCAACAGGAGCTGAGTGCCTGCTTCCCATTTATACCTTTGAAAGTCACCCCATGTACTGTTTATCTGCCTTCCCAGGTATTTTTTTCCTTCTCCTTGGTACATCCAAAATGTCTCTGTGATGCAAGTCTCACACAGTGCTCTTTTAAAACCTTTTTTAGTGGTTTATATATTTGTCCTTTCAGAACAAGGAGAGAATTATATCCTTTAGGAAGGCTTAATAGTACTTTATGGAGCTCCTTGATTACTCCTCCTTCCAAAGGTTGGATTTTAATTCTGCTACATAGAAGACAGTGGTAAAAAGGCTCAGATAGTCAGGATGAATTCTTCCTAATGTGTTGCACTGCTTTTAAAAATCTGCTAGAAAACTAAGCCAGGAATGTCCAAGTGATAAAAAATTGGCATTTCAAGTATAGTTTTTAGAACTTTTGTCCTTTCTGTTCTACTTGTATAAGTCTTATGAGTGTGTCTGAGATATGTAAAATATTGGTAAGGAAAATAATGTGGAGAGAAAAAATAATTTGAATTGCCCAAGAGAAACAGGACTGAAACAACAGCTCATTTTCATCTTGCTCTGGGTGCTCTCTGTAGGGAAGGTATTTTCAAGTATATTTTTACTGCATAAATTTTCACCTGATCTGGAGGTGCCACAGAGGGGCCTCGTCTTTGCAGCTTATTCTGTGGAGCTGGTAACTAAAGCAGCCAAAACCAGAGGAGCCTGTTCTGCCAAGGAACTGAGGGCTGGGAAAAATCCCCCTTTTGGTTGTTAGAGTACCTGACTTATGAAGTGTCTAAAATAAAAACCTATCCTGGATTTTAAGATGAGTTAGGTATTACGGTGTGAGTAGATAGATAAACAGAGAGTAATACTGTAATCATTGCTTTAAAAGTAACACTGCTCGACTGCAGCAAGAAGTAAGTATTGGAGTTGTATCTGGTTTTGTCATTTTATTGCTTTTCTATTTTATAGTTGTGCTGATTATCCCTGTAATGGCTTTTCCATGCATTTCAGAGCACGCAGTGGGTAATGCCTTCTTTCAAGTGGAGAGCTGCAGTGTATTTAAATTGGCACAAAACCTTAGGTTAAATAAAGTTCACTACAGACAGTTTTGTAGTTTTTATCCCTTGGAGACTCCGAGTTCTGTATTTTAAAAAGTTCTTTGATCCTAAATATAGACACCTGAGGGAATTTCATTCCCTCTGAATGGAGCCTTCTATAGTTGCCATATGCGTAGAAATGTCTCACATTCTTGGCATCCACACTTTTTTTTTATTTCTCCCGTTAGGCAGGATAGGACTAAATCCTGAATTATTCCTGTTTCAGAGGTGTTTCAATTAGAAATGAATACTGAACACTGAATTAGCATCTGAACAAAACTGTGTTCTCCAAATGGAAAATGTAGTGTGGTTGTATCTCTCAGTGGCAAATAGGTGTTATGATGACACAGTGAAATTCCTGGAAAGATTCATCAACTTGTCAATACTGTATTCAATTTGCCTGATTTCTTTCCACCCCTCCAAGGAATTCTGTTATCTTTTATGAATTATGAGCACATGTTATGACTCTGAGGTTAGGCTTTATTTCTGGATATATATATATATATATAGGATGGAAATAATTGTTGTGTCCCTCCCTTCCTCCTGAGAAAAAGAACTCAATGAACTTCTTGAAAGAGCTTAATTTTCATATTGAACTTTGAAGTTTCCAGTGAGAAGTTTAATTAGGCTTCTTAAGGAAAGGTAAGCCATCAGCCAGAGTTTCCCTGTTAGGTTTTTGGGAAGTGTGCAGGATTCTGGAAGGCTTCCTGAGGCTTGGGAGCAGGCACCTGAGATGCCAAAACTTACCTAGAGAAGAGTTGCAACAAATTGCATTGTTTGTTTTCTTTTATGGCTGAGGAAGAGGCACAAATGAACTTCTGCCCTGGACTTTCATTCCATACATTTATTTTAATTCATTTCAGAGTAATGGGCAGAGGTGTGTCAGTGTTTAACAGGGATAGGGAAAGAGGTGAGGTGTTGCAACCAGGTAAGAAAAGACAAGTAAGGATGCAAATATTGCTCCAGGTGAGGGTTTTGACGTGGAATCAGTTGTAGAACAGGAGCATAAAAGCAACACAAAGGGAAATAAGAGTTTTAACCCTCATTGTAGGATAAATCAAAGCAGAACCTCAAGTGGTTGGCAGTGACAGGAAAATAAAGATAACTGAATGGAAAATGAAGAGGAAGTAATAAAAGGGTTATTTAAAAACAAATCATGAACAAGTGTTTGACTTGCATGAATGTTAACTTTAACAAAGCTGGCAGTAAATAAGATGAGAAGTGGCTGTAGCAGAGCACAGAATGGAGGTGCAGTCTGTGCAGGTTCTACCCAGAAACAGATGGAAATGTTTCTAATGGTTCCCTTTTGTTTAAATTTCCTTAGTTTATGTAACCAACCACTCCTGTTTGATACCATTCAGAAGCAAGAACAACTGGCATCCTCCCATCTTTGGAGTCACTGGGGTTCAGCTCTAGCAGTATTAGCTCAAAATGCCATGGGAGTAGCTTAAAATCAAATCATATCTTAGTGGCAGGGAACCTGAGAAAGAAAGAAATGGTGGTGTTTTCCTCAGGAGGGTATTAAACAAGATAGTCAACTGATAATGCAGAAAGATCATGGTGACATTCGGGTTCTGAGTTTCCTACCATTCTGTATTTTCACCATTTTCCTTTGATTCCCTGCTCTTCTGTTCAAGTGGTGACAGCAGAATATGTGTGATCACTGGCAGTCTCATGCTGGATGAAAGTGAGGAAGGCTGGAATACCTGTCATCTTTCTGGGCAACTGTACAGATTAGAATTTTGGGTTTTTTCTTTGGGAAAGCTGACAGTCATCCTTTACAGGGGTAGTTGAGGTATTGAAGTCATGGGATTTAGCAGCAGCTGCCATGGCTTTTCTATTCCTAGAAGCGATTTATTCAGTTTGGGTCAAATGTAGGTATTTCTGTGTTTTCTTCAGTATAATCCTAAGAATTTTCTCCTTGTGTCTTCCCCACTGTAGCACAGGGGCTCCTGCAGCTTGTCCAGCACCTCATCTTCAGTTTAACTTGCATTTCATTCACAGATGAGCAGTTCATGTGCAGGTTTGAGTGCTGAGCAGTGAGAATCTGTATCAAAATGTGCAGATCATGAGATGGAAAGAAACTGAAATTCCCAGGCAGAAATGTTAAGTACTTGGAGGAATATTATACATGAGGCCATTTCCCCATTTCCTGCCAGTTTGAAAAGACACCAAGTTTTATGGCCAATTAGTGACAATCAAAAGCCATGGAAAGTGTCAGTTTTAATGTGCAGAACATCTGGTATCTGCCATCAGTATCTTTGAAAAAGGTTTTGGGATAAAGGATCATCCTTGAGAAGTTTGAAGTATTATTTTGTTCTTCCTGTTTTTA